GAGCGACGGCTAAAATCTTCAGAAGGTCACTCAGAAGGGTGACCTCTATGACATATGTCAAGATCAGGCTGATCTGAGGTGGCGCCCTTTTTCTACACCTTTACCAAAACGCCTTTATTATCCAAAACAGTAATATCATACACATGCAGGAAACTTTATTCTAACATTAGAACGGATTGAGGTGAACATAAAAGTCTTATATCGTTTTGCGATATTCTCAATCAATCAATAAATCTTAAGATATTAGCTATATTGATTATATCATGTTTGCGCAGTCAAGTTAGAAGTTAGTTAAAAGTGATTATTTTTGTTATATTTGTGGCGAAATTCATTTTAGTAAGAGTGCAAATTAATCGCAATGCGACTCGTAATGCATGAATTATATTTCGAATGCAAAACAGGAAATGATGATCAGATTTGAGTTCCTCATATTTGTTGAAAAATCTATACATATCGATTTTTCAATAGTGGTTAAAGAGAAAAAATTGAACTATGCCTTTCTCAAAAACTGTAATATTTTTCATTATTACTTTCTCGTTCAGGGCGCTTATATTATAAAAAATATACCAAAAGTATTCGGCGCAAACAAAAAATTAAACAAATTGTTGCCCAGTGTTATGACAATTTTATCTCGTCTGTTCATATGTTCGATTTCAATCATTTTATGTATGAAAAACACCTTTATTATCCGAAACAGTAATATCCCAGACAACATAATGTCTAAAATCGGGACATAAGACGTCTTAAAGATAATCTTTAAGACGCCTTAAAGACATTTATACGTAAATCGTCTGAAAGATCTATCTTAAAGATGATCTAAAGACATCTTTAAAGATGATCTTTAAGACGTCTTATGTCCCGATTTTAGACATTATGTTGTCTAATATATCGTACATATGCAGGAAACTTTATTCTAACTAATAACATGTCAATTAAGTTTATTCACTCATAATGAATATTAATAAGAAATTTCAGAATGCTATAAATATGTGTTCAGCTACTCCTGAGTTAGATTTTCTATTTTCTAACTATTAGAGTATTATGGGCATATATATTCGTCAGCGAAAAGTGTCGTTGTGATTTGCAGGCATATGAAATAGGAGCGGTCAGATGAGCTTTTATTGAGATTCAGAAAAAAGTACTTATGTCCTAAAAAGAATATTTTGTGGTTTCGTTCCATTGTTTCTCTTACAATTAATCACAAATAAGGAACATGGCCAACATACTTTTTGGGTCAATTAGACTTGGTCTCCTCTATACATCTAACGAATTTCTTGGATTTCTATTCTCGATACAAGCAACAATTATCAATTGTTGCGATGGGAACTTATATTCATTTGTTATTACTTTAGCGGCGGAAATAAACTAGATTTCATCACTTATCATTGTTTTCGAACAGTTATTTCTTTCACCGATTGACTTATACGACAATCCAAAGCATCATGTCCTCAGTGATTGTTTAATTCTAAAGTGCTCTGCATAGACGCACACAATCAAAGATTAAAATTAAAACAGAATTTTCTTTTTCCTTCTGTTATTCCTGTTATTTCTGTTATTTAATTAGTTTTCTGTTGTTTCTGTTATTCGTAGGAGAGGAATAGACGGAAAAGAGTGTGTGAAAAAGACAATTTGCGAAGCAGCATTGGCGCCTTTGGAGGACGAAGGGCTCGTGGGAGAATTGTTGCATCTTTTTTTCACGTAGGATAAATTGAATTTTCTCTCTTTCTCTTTTTCTTTCTCGATCACGTCGTAATTTTATTCATCTGTCGTGGCGTAACCGTTGTTAATTTCAGACCTCAAGAAGCAGCGAATTCGTCTGTAGATTCCGAATATTTAGAGGCACTCGAGTTCGGACGAAGTAATCGTGACTGCTCGCGGATCTACCGATCGTGCTTGCCAGGTCAGGGGATTCTGGATCAAATATCAAGTGTAATATCGTAAAGGATTAGAACGTTGAGCGGAACGAGAGTTAATCTTGTCGATCGTTTCTTTCGAGAGAATAAAAACTTAATTGTAAGTTCAACATCTGCCGATTGATTTGCGATAAATAGGAAACGACGATTCGTCGATCGATCGCGCATTATCGAGCTGGTAAGCGACCGAAGACGAAGTTGCTGTCGGATGGAATTGAGACGCGAACAAAAAAGAAGATTCGACGAGAGAGCAGAACGCGCGATCGATTCGCGCGGTGCCGGTAAAACCAGCACAGGAAAACTGTCGCGTTTAGTTACGCCCGAGTTAAATTAAGCAAGCGGTGTATCTCGCGGATTTAACGTTAACCGCACTTTCACTAATTGGCACGGGTCGGTGGAAGCTGATAAAGAGGATAGTCGAAGCGGGAGCGATTCAAGGCAGACTTGGAAGTGCTATTTTCGTTGACGATAGTTCCAGCTGCCTACGTAGGTGCGATTATATCGAATCGATCGGCAGCCAGCGTCGCGAATGCACAATGTGACGTATTTAAAATAATCGCATACCCGTGAAGTATACAATAATCACGAAAAGTAGAGGTTCATGAAGTATAGGATCCACGCATGAGTCAGTTCAGGATAGGATCCATGCATAAGTCAGTTCAGATAAGATCCATCCATGCAAGAAAGATAAGGAAAAGTATAAGAGCACGTTTGCTGTTTGATGAGTGTTAGGGGAAAAGATCGAATAATTATGGTTGCAAATCTTTTCTCATTATTTGTCATTTTAACAAACATATAATTCCAAAATACAAGATATATTTGGTCTCGTCTATTTAGATTAGTTTAGGTTTAGGTTAAGGTTATGGTTGAGTTAAATTACGTTAATTGTATCTTCATTCCAAAAAAAGAGAAATTTAGGACAGCGAATTAAAAATAATTAATCATTTGTTCCCACCATATAGATTATTTGCTACCTCATATGAACAAACCATCTATTGCGAGTACTAGTATTTTGTTAAATTGGTAAAACTTTTTCTTTTAATGTCATATAGATAAATAAAGAAGTCTGTTAGTCGGTCTGTGACTGTTATGTTAAAAAGTTGATGGTTAATATATCACAAAGAAGCTCGACAAATCTGTGAAAATGTTTATAAATATAATTTATGATGCATGTAGAGCTTTGACGTTACGCAAGAGAATATCAATCAAACTTACGATGTCTAAAAGCCATTAAGATAATCGCTTGTCGCACTTTAATATACAATATTTTTGACTAGGACTGATCGTGTTGTGAATAAATGTATAAATGCATCATGTGTATTTATAAACACTAATACAGTTACTAGAGTGATGATCATGACAACGTCATATTCTTTTATACGTGTGAACACTGTATTGAATATAAATCTTTAAAGTTCTTTAACTATTCCCAAAGCAAACAAAGAATAAGGCAAATAAGAGTCAACTGCCAATTTTAAAGGCGAAAATCACAATTTAATAATTTAATACTTAAATGTATCACAAGCTTTTATTAAATTGTGATTTTCGCCTTTAAGATCGGTAGTTGGCTTTAATTTATTTTTTGTTTGCTTTGATAAAGTCTCAAGAGCCTTTAACTTTTGTTTTAACTATTCCACTTTAAAATGGCTATTCGCTCTAAACAGACTGTAAAATAGGCAATTTTAAGAATTTCTTTTTACAAAAACTATAAAATATTTCAAAATTTTACAAAAACTATAAAATATTTCAAAGTATGTGTTTTTGCTTACATATTTATATATGTAAATGATGAATGATGAATTTCGGAAATGTCGATAATAAGTAAATAAGAGGCGATCATCAAAACATCATATCAGAATAAGTACTAACGCAATCATCCTACTCTTTTGCAAACAACGTGTAAAAAACAACCATGTAAAATTTTGAGTTAATTAAAGAAGATTGGCAAATGATCACGCCCAATACGGCAAATGACTTGTGATAGCGACGTCTGCCGTTGAACATTTTCAAATTTTGGTGTCTAAAATTTATATACATTACAATGCACAATAAAAAAAGTATTTAAGTAGGATACGCAACCTGTTAATTAATATCTTTTTCATTAGCGATTGGATTTATTAAATTTACCTAAACTAAAAATAGCCAATATCTTTATCAATGATAAAAAAATTGCATATAATTGAATGGCAACGCAAAGTATCGATTAAAAATAAAGTATCGATTTTTCACAAAATTTCTTGATTTTGACTTGTTATTTAAAAAAAGATTATAAATATTAATTTATTATATATTTTATTATGATAAATATTACTTTATTAGAGATATTACTATTATTTTTCTAATTGTATATTGTGTATGTCTATCTTTTTTTAATTATATATTGTGTGTATAAATTATATTTTCTTTAAAATATACTATTAAAATTTAAAAAAGATGCTTAAAAAAATGGCTTTATACAGATTGAAGATTTTAACCCTTCATTAAGTGCGTGCAGTTTTGTCTTCACTTTAGGTATGTGATTTATTATTGCGGTTTCCGTAGATGAGATTTATTATATCAAACTTTCAAAATAATATTACAATTGTATTATAATTGTATTTAAAACAAAAGTATTAATTCTAAACCCTTTAATACTAAAATGTATAGATTTTTTCGAAAATATGTATAGTATAAACAATAAACTGTGTATAGAAAAGGGATATATCTCTAATTAGTAATATGAAAATAACGTTGGTCTACGTTTGTAGACTACATATTTACTCGAGGGTTAAACATCTTAGGAGACACACTCTTTAAGAACTCTTTTCAAATAAAATATGCTTTACAAACATGAGAACAATGTTATATACTTAAGGGGATGTTAAAAACGACGAACTCAAACAATGTCGATAATGCAGAGACAATCGTCACTAGCACTATCCTTTTCGTATTTCTTGTACATGCAGAATTTACGCAAATGTGTGTTGCTTTGTTTTACGATATTCAGAGAAAAACCTAACCCTCTGTAGTAATTTTTCTACAAATTTTTCGGATATTTTTAAGTTTCTGAATTCAGTTGCAAAGGTACAGCAATGTTCTTTAAAATTTTTCTGTTTGGAGCGTCTACACTTTCGGTATGTACAAGCAGCAAAACTTTTGAATTAGGCAAATGTTACGCTAACTGACAGCTTGAGATTTTATATTGCAAAATTGTTTTCGTTTTCATTATATATTGAGCAATGCTCCAATTTATTTTTGTGCGCACTTTCATTACGTAAAACCACTCGTAATTCTGTACAGTCAATACGGCGTAAACTTTGCAGAAAAAATGTCAATATTCCGTCGGTAAAATTTTCAGCTTCAGCATCCCCTTAAGTTTGTTCGAGCGTTTATATTCGAGTGAGAGACAGAGTCATCTAATTACGAGATATCGATCCACTGTTATTTGCAACATTCTACACTGTATGAAGCGTTTGAGAAGAGAAAGGGCGGCAGAAGGAGAGAAAAAGTGAGAAGAGCGAATTGAATTCGATCGACAATTATTCCCTACAATTAATTCTTCACTTTCGCGTAGCGTATACTCGGCTGACATAGTTGAGCAAGTTATTTACAACAACATCAATAAACGGTTGGTATTCCATGGGGAATCACGACAGGATAATTGGCGACGTCACATCGTTCGGGCCGACTAACTTTCGCAGTTGCCCAGCCGGTGGAAATTGAGCGAGCGACTGTACCTCGTGGCAGAATTAACGCCGTACCTGACCGCCCGCGTGCCTAATAATCGGCGCAAAACGGCATTTCGGCGAGTGCGAGCGAGAAACTCGAAAACGCCGGCGAGAGGGGAAGGGGAAGCTCGCGGATTCGACGTAACCCTGCTGGCAGGAGCGATCATAGTGACGCCTGTAGTGAATTCCGGCGTAAGGTGTGTGTCAGGTCTCGGCGGAAACTGCCGTACAACTTGATACGGATCTTGCCGTAACTTAGTCCCGAGAACCCTCCGGCCTTGGGTCCCTCCTCCTTCACCCCTTCTCGTCAAATACAACGAGACAACGTTGATTATGCGCTCACTGTTTCGAAGCGGTATCTACCTTGTTCTGCTCGCAGCGATGACGTTCCCCGCACATTCCAGAAGAGCGACCAGAGCGCTAGCTTTCCGCAAGGGCAGCACCTTTTTCGTAAGTCTCAGCGCCTTTTCCGTGACTCTTTTCTCTGATTCATTCCTGGTTACACGGACGCTCGACCGGGTTCGATTCTGAGTTCCCGACGAGTTCGGATCGACGGCTAAATTTTGGCTTTCGCTTCAAAAAAAATAAAAAAGAAAACATTGACGGGCTCGAGGTCACAAAATATGATAGATTTAGCGATTTTTCGGGAAAATCGTGAGTAAAGAGCGATTAACGGAAAAATGCGTTATACAGAGAGAAAATGTTGCAGCTTTTTTTTATACCAATTCTTTTTAATTTTACTATGTTTCCCAGCAGTGCATGAATATAAATTGTTTACCGAGAAAATATTATATATTAAATAGTAAATATATTAAATAGTAAATAGTATGAATAGTATATTATGAATAATAATAGTATACAATTGTATAAATAGTATATTATATCATGTATACTATATATATTATATATTAAATATGTAAATTATATACAATATAGGAGATATATACTGTCAGTCGAATTTATCTTGCTGAGGAATATAGCTGAGCTTGCTCAAGACATTATCAAAATTGTAGGATAAGTAGGAAGACATACTTTGATGACTTTGAATAATCTTGAGTGTCCACTTTCCACACTATCAATCAAAATTTCTTTTTTTTATAGGAAAAGTACTTTTGAATCACTTCAGCGATAATACTCAATGAGCTTAACAATTTACGTATTATTTTCTTGAAAATACAGCTGTTATCGGGATATCAACAAAATTAGAAGTTAAAGTGAGAAAAAATCTGGAACAGATATTTTTATTATTACAATGTACAATTTATTATTATATGAATGTTTAAAATGTTCTTGTTGATATTCAGAAATGTTTGTAATTTTCGCAGAAAGTTTACTCGAGCTTCTTTTAATTCTTGAATGATAATAAAAAGTAGAAAAATAATTTTTTATATACAGGGGAAAAATAATTTTTTATATCCCGGAATTGATGAGAAAAAATTAAGAGACGTATTCTGTTAGCCAAAATAAGGAAATCTTTTCATGTCAATATATGTTTAGAAATGCATCCCCTCTGAGCTAGAACCCCAAAGTTGTCGGAAGAAATTTAAATTTTCTATTTTCTATTTTCCACTGTCTAAACTTCAACTTCAAATTTTACAAAAAATGGTATATTAACATATCAATATGCGTTTTTTTTTTATTTTTGGTACCAAAAATTTTCTAAAGAATTTGTAAAATGGGTTTCTGAGGGAAAAGCCTATATTTATATATACAATGTTTATGCGTGCAAAAATGCAAAAAATACGTTAATATTTTTTGATAAGAAATCAATTAAAATATAAACATTTTTTTACTCTATCAAAAACGTACCTTTTGTGTAATTTTTAAAATCTGAAGAAGTATGTGCAAATTATTTTACAAACGTACCACCGAGCTCGTGCTGAGTCTGTGTCCGAAACCACACAATGTCTGTCAGTGAAGCGAGTAAGCAATTGGTTGTTCTGATCTGTATGTTGTATACAGCACTTTGTATTGAATTAATCCATAAGTTCGTACGGATTCTTAAACAAAATTGAAATATATATGCATTTTATTCTTGTTAAAAATAATTCCAATAAATACGTACGCGCCATACGTTCGCGACAATCTTTTGCTATCTTTCACATTTCATATAATTCCCCTTTCATAAAACTCTTGTGTTTTTCCGGCGAGGAAATTCTAAGTGATTTCTCATATCTCTTCAAAGAAGCGAAGTTTATGCCGTTAAGGGAGTTTTATAATGAGAGAAACGAATCGAAAGGAGCAATGTCGAGTAAATATATAGTGGATAAGGCAAAACATTCCAGCCAAACTTTAACAATTGTTAATTTTTTGTTACGGAAGTAAAAAAGTATAATGCACTGGAAAAACTCATTACTGCCTTTCGTTTTCAAGCCGCAACAGTACTTCTGTGTAGACAAGACAACTCTACTTCTTTAAACACTGTCACTTATATACCACGCTCTGAAATGTCAGCTATTAAAGCATATACATAGATGTGTGTATCGAACTATCTTTCTAACACCAATATTCAAATGTCAATTAGACAAAAATCCGTCCAAATTTATGGATTAATCCAATACATATTGGCAAATTATTCCTTTAGCATTGACTATCACATTCTACTGGAATCCTCTTGTCAATAACTTTGTAATAAACAATAAACGACGGCTAAAACTTTTCGAACGTTCCTTAGGGTTGGAGATGTAAAATTACTGTTAAACTCAAAGACGATTATTTACGGCAAAATTACGGTGAGATGGTAATTTTGGTAAAATCCGTTGTTTTTGATAATTTTTGATGCACATATATCCGTGTTTATTGTACTAATGCATAAAATAAAGCAATATTCTTCTTATGTTCTCATGAAATGTACATCTGATAATGATAATATGTCTCTGAAACAAAATAAACTATTTACAATTCTTCGAGAGTATTAAAATTTTTATTTTTTAAAATACTACTAAAAATTTTGAATTATATACTACAGCCTAGTCGCTAAAATAACAAGGTAATAAATAAAAATACTATAAGATGATATAAAAAATATAAATTGTGACTGTTTTCGAGATATAAAAAATATCGACAAAAACGGATCACCTTCCGAGGACGATGACCTTCACATATGTTGTCAAGGTCATCATCTTGAGTAATATTCAAAAGGTTTTAGCCGTCGCTCGTTGTTCATTACAAAATTATTAACAAAAAAAGTTGTATAAAATGAATGTAATTTTTTGACACCGTATATACAAAGGCATCGAATTTGTGTGCCCTATCACACACACACACACACACACACACACACACACACACACACACACACACACACACACACAACTCGTCCGCCCGGGCGGGCTCGCGGTGTGTCCAAAAATTACATTCATTTTATGCAAATTCTTTTGTTAATAACTTTTTAATGAACAACGAGCGACGGCTAAAATCTTCAGAAGGTCACTCAGGACGATGACCTCTATAACATATGTCAAGGTCGAGGTCATTAGAACAGCCTCCCCTAAACAGGAGTTTTACAATACTTATTACCAATTTCTTTTGTTGATAACTTTTTAACAAACAATGAGTGACGGCTAAAACTTTTTGAATGTTACTCAGGATAATGACCTTGACAACATATGCGAAGGTCATCGTCCTCGGAAGATGATCCGTTTTTGTCAATAATTACCGTGTATTATATATAGCATATAAATATACAGTATTAAAATATTTTATGGAAAATATGAGTTAAATAAAGTCTCTTACTAAGTTTTAATGTTCCTTTTGAGATCTATATTAAAACATTTTATTTCTGTGATTTTTTTCTAAATTACCATTTTACCAGCTCTCTGAAATTATTGAGTAATTTACTGAGTAAAAAGAAAGTTACCGTCAGATTGGAACATTTTTATCTCTACTCAGGACGAGGAACTTGACAACAATGTCAAAGTGAAGGTCATTGGAACTGCGTTTGCTAATAATTAGCATTTCCACTATAAGATCCTCTCAGTGTATCTGTTTCAAGGAAAGAGACGATCGAATCGACGAAACTCTATGTGGAACAGTCGTCGTGAGATATTTGGGTCTCACGGATGCTCGAACGTAATTAAGCGGCCTGATAATGTGTAAGTGTTTTGACCGTGTCCGAAACAGCTAAAGGATTAAAGGCATAAACGCGCATCGTGGCGCGGAGGGGCGAAGACTCTCGCAATATTCTCACATAGCATTCCGCGAATGATTGTTCCACTTTGGCCCTCTGCGTGTTAAATTGAAACTCTAACGTATAGTGAATTCATGTAGCGAATATTCACTCGCACACTTCTAACACGATTACGCACACGTTCACTCTCGATATATAATACAAAGGGTATAATCTACCATTTGCAATATATATATATATATATATATATATATATATATATATACGCGAATATTATTCGATCAAACCGTTCGCAAAGAATGTTATTGAAAATACTTCGCATCACCGGTACGGGGAGACGTAATTGAGGCAATAGATATTATTTTGGATTAATTACATTCTCATTATCCGCGTGGACGCAAAAATATATCGTTCGTAAAGAATGCGCGGAATTTTTTACGCGAATTCCAGCCGTACGGGCAATCATTTGCTCGGATTATTTCAGTTTTTCTGCCATTTTGAGTCACCCTGTCTCTTTCTCTCTCTCCCCTTCCCTTTCCTTCTCTCTCTCTCTCTCTCTCTCTCTCTCTCCTCCTCCTCCTCCTCTTGCACGGTAGGAGCGCAACCGCTCGGCGAGTTTCAATATTCAAATGCCGGGAAAGGTTGCCGGTGCTGCTTTTTTCGTCTTTCGCGAAACAGCTGCGCGCGCGAAACGACGCGTTATGAAAATACTCGTTTTGCGCTCTCTCCCCCGTAATTTATGCGATTTCGCGTCCGGCTACGTCGAATGTAACGCGAATACATTATAACTTTTATCTTTCTGGAATCGTTCGCGCCCGCTACACGGTCGGTATGTGCCCGCGATATTATTAAAAATACGAATCGATCGTGTCTGCGCCAGTGGGGAAAATGGGTTCGTCGGGACGTAATAAAATCGAGCGGGAATACGTCTCGCGAAAAAAAACAAAAAAAAAAAGGTAAAAAACATCACTTGCAATTTGGACGTATTAAAGGGACACGTGCGCACGCGTCGGCGTCAGGTAAATGGATTTCTCGTTGGAGCGGGCCATAAAAAGCCGCAAGAATCAATGTTGGATAACGTCCCGTATCCATGGCGGTGCATAACGGTACTGTTTATGCAGCGTCTGGCGTGCCGTTGCAGCACGAGAGGAGAATTTATGCGCCATATGTACACGGGACTGGCTCTAATGTAAACCGATCGGAGCTGCCCGTATTTTCACTTTAAAAGGCACGAAGCCGTGGATGCTGGGGCGTATTTTGAAGCACGATTTAGCGCACGGCATTAATACAGTATGAAGCCAAACGTTCTGTCCGTTTCTCG